GTGACCGGTGGGTCCGGGCTCTCCAGAGGGACCAATGTTACCCAGTGCACCAATGGGACCCTGGGGACCCATGTTTCCCTGAGGACCCTCGCGGCCACGGTCACCCTTCTCGCCGCTTAATCCGGGAGGACCAGCAGCGCCGTCCATTCCCATTGGACCCTGAGGACCAGTCACTCCAGTCAGGCCCTCTGGACCCATAGGACCCATTTCGCCCTGTTCTCCAGGTTGACCCGGTGAACCAGGAGGTCCCTGTAAGAGAACAAATGAGTAGGGGCAGATATAGAAAGTGTAGTTGAACAATGATTTACTACTCATAATAAGTGAGTAGTCATGTATGTTAACTCTTCTCGACTAAGTGACGGCTGTTCGCTTTTCGTCTGCAATTCTCGTAAATGACGTCTTCTTTCGCATTTTCCAGCCAATGTGTCACTAATAGGGACTTCAAAGGCGTTCCGTTAATAAAACTGAACTTGTTAGTGTTTATAGACTAGGCCAAGATAATAGTGTTCTTTTAGATTAGCATGCAAAATTGTTGTTATATATTGGGGAAGAAATCCTTATCTTACCGGAGTAATAGACTAAACACTTTCAAGGTTGCATTTTAGTTTTACTTGATGCCTGGGGAGTTTGTTTTATGAGGCCGTGTGTCTGTGCGCCCATCGAATGCTCGGCCATCGTTTCACCGCTTCTCAGGGTGAATTTGCTCGCACTTTTTGACTTGGGGTTGAGCGAGGTTATTTAACATAGATAATTCAGCCCAATCACATACCTGGATTCCAGGCATACCGGGACTGCCAATGGGACCGGGCGGACCGCGGACACCCTGAAAAGAAGAAATATTCAGTTAGTCAAGTAGAAAGATTTGGGATCTAATTCTTAACTAGACTGGCTTAAAAAAATCTAAGAGTTCATCAGGTCATGTCCTTTTCCAGTTGTACACAACGGACACGAGAAAATACTTTGTGAATAAGGTCCTTTAGGAGTCATTTTCAGAGGAGAAATTTAAATACCTGATCGAGAGTCATTCCTATGATTTAATGGTTGGGAAAAGTGTCCAAATGTTTAGGAGTGCTGACTGAGCTAAAGAAGGTAGACGGGAATAAATGATAATGCTACATTATAGAGATCCCATTAGCCTAAATGCCTGACTTCAGTGTTCGTCTTCATACCTCTGAAAGCAATGTAATTTATGTCAACTTTCCGTCTAGGCCTGTCAAGTTTACTTCAAACTAATTTCTTCCAAGTTATTCATTAACTTTGGAGGAAATTAAAAAGCCGCAAATTCAAAACTCAAATATCTACCGGAAAGCGCACGAAGAGCGCTGAGGGACCAACTGATAGCTGCACTACTCACAGCTATGTCATGCAGTGTCTTGACTTTCAGCTTGTACCTTCTTTGTGAAGTATGTTACATCATGTAACCTACATATGTAAATACCATCCTAACTGACCGGTAATTGTGCGGAATACAAAACAGCAAACCTGATCCATGTTTGGCGTTTTTGCTTTCGGGACATCTCTAAGTCCTTAAATATAACAAATGGTAAGAATTTGTCGCCGGCGAATTTATAACTGTTCTGGACAA